ATGTCTTCCATCTCCCACCTCCTCCTGAAGGTGTATGGGCGTCTATTGAAGCCCTAGAGGCCTTCATCGACGAGCATGCGCTTGCTCAGGGCTATGGACTTGCCCGCGCCAGCTCATGCCTGAACGCTCGCTACTGGCGATGTGCTCGCGGCAGAGCCTACAATCACCAAGATGAGTCTTCTGGATCCTCAAACGGACGCAAGAGATGTACTAGGATGGAAGAGTGCCCCTTCAGCGTCGCTGCTTACAGAGTCACAGAGACAAGTGATGCGCAGGGAAGTAAGTGATGCGGTACGTCGCATGGCTCCGTACAGAAGTCTTTTTTTGCGCCGCGCCACTCATCCTTGCTTTTCGTCTATACGTCACCAGGTGCCGTACCGGTCAATCCCGGCCAACCCACTTCATGGCGACTCAAAGTGCACCGCCCCCACCACTCACACCCTTCTGAACTTGATGCCTACACCCTTCCCAAGTACCGCAGGCTCACCAAGACCGAAAAGGCACTCGTCTTTGCTCAGCATTCAAGAGGAATGATGCCTGGCAGGATCCTTGACTCTCTCAAGGGGTCAGACGAGCGCACCTCTCATCTCCTGAAGCACACAATCAGCAATGCTATTGCAAAGGAAGACCAGCGGCTACAGGACTTAGGGCCAGCTTGTGGACTGCTTGAAAGACTGTTGTACGTGCTGAATGGCCATGAAGAGGCAATGCACAGCATCAATCGCGAAGAGACGGGCCATCTCAGTGGTCTTTGGATCACCAATAAAGGCGCACTTGCTCTTGCTCTCAAGCATCCATCAGTTTATTACATGGACTGCACATATCAAACTAACACCTATGGACTGCCTCTCTTCCACATCGTAGGCGTCTCTACAACAATGCAGACGTTCACAGCAGGCTACTGCTTTCTTGCGTCAGAGCAGCAGGCAGACTACGAATGGGCACTGCGCCAGTTGCGCATTGCTCTTGGCAATCACAGCCCCGTTACCATCATCACAGACCGAGATTGTGCTCTCATGAACGCTATAGAAGAGGTCTTTCCAACGGCACGGCACCTCTTCTGCCACTGGCACATCCATCGCAATCTGGAGACA